CTTGTCCTCCTAGGGTGTATGGTTTCTGGCTTCTTGGAGTGTGCCACTCCTCATTAGCTGGCTGCCTAGAAATAGAATGTTCACTTTCTTTGTGGTAATAAGTCAATAGTTTATTTTTTTTTAAGACTTATTTATCTATTTGAGAGAGAGAGCGAGCAGGGGGTAGGAGCATTGGGAAAGAATCTCAAGCTGACTCCCCACTGAACGTGGAGCCCAACACAGGGCTTGATCCCATGACTTGAGCCGAAATCAAGAGTCGGATGCTCAGCTGACTGAGCCACCCAGGTGCCCCTCAGTCAATAGTTTAAAAAACTTTCTTTTCTGCTTACCACAGGAACGCCTCTCATTGTAAAAAAATTTAAAAAGCAACGTTATAAGACTATATAATATAAAAAGTTACTTTCCAGTATTGCCAGCCCCAAAGAAACAACCAGAATTAGTGAAGAAAATTTTAATATTTGAATCTCTTCCTCCAAAGGGGCGACAGAGGAGATGTGCCGGCAAGTCCCTTCACCTGACTCCAGCAGCTCCCCGGGACTTGTGGATACGTCTTTACGCCGCGGCTCCTAAGCTTGGGGCAAGCAGAAACACAGCTGAACGTAAATATGAAGCAAAACTCTAGCCAGAAGTTCTGACAAAGCCTTTTCTCCCCCTGCTTTGTTAATTTATTTCCAGGAAAAGAGGCCAAAGACATTTAAAATGAGGATTGTTCTGGAAAATCCAGGCTAGATGGACACCAGATGTATATAGGGAATCAGGGCACACCACAGTAAACACTCAGTAGTTGTCTGCGCAGTGAAGCAACGAAAACTCTGTACTGATCTTTAGAAAATCAAACCAAAACAGCCCTGTACAACATGCCCGCCTGCATAGGTTTTACCTTTTTTTTTTTTTTTTTACTACACAGCAAAGGGAAAAGTCGCCAAGCGTTTCTTGGCTGAATTTTTCTATTTTGCTTTCAGTTTGTGCCATTTCAGTTCCTGTTATCATGCTTGGAGGTACACTGAAGTGCAGCAAACCCCGGGGGTATCTGAGGCCGCGCTGAAAACTCAGCACAGGCAGCAGAAGATATTAATAATGTGATGTCAACACAGCGCACACTCAGGAAACTCCAGGAAAAGAACACAAACATAACTCTGGTATGAAGCACTTTTTGGAAAGGCTTTACTGCAAGAGGACGGTAAGGGTTTTACAAGGGCCATGAAGAAACGTATTTAAGTTAATAAAGCTCTTTATTGAGTGTTTACTGTGTTTTACAATGTGCTTTACATCTATTAACTTGCTTTATCTCCAAAACAACCCTATAAAGAAGTCACAACTAGAATCCCCACCTTACCAATGAAACAACTGAGGCACAAAGGAGCTCATAACTTGCCCAGGGTGACGGGGAATGGCAGAGACAAAGTTAAACCCAGGCAGGGACGGGGGTAGGGGGATGGGCTAAGTAGCTGAAGGGAATGGAGAGGGTACAAACTCGCAGTCAGGAAACAACTCAGTCACAGGGATGAAAAGTATGGCCCAGGGAATCCGGTCAATAGTATTGTGATAACCTTGTACGGTGACAACACTTAGTGTGGTGAGCATTTTGTTACGTCTCTCTGTCGAATCCCTGTGTTGCACACCTGGAACTGATATATATTATATATCGACTATATTTCAATTAAAAAAAAAAAAGTTAAACCCAGGCAGCCTGGGCCCAGAGCCCTGATGTTCTGGTATTAAACCACTCTGCTCAGCTGCCTGTCAGAGGACAGGGAAACTCGATGAATTTCTGGGTTGCTGAATATTAGGTTGTGTATATTGAACCCCCCAGATAAGAGGTGAACAAAACATCGGAACAAAACGTTAAGAAGTCCTTATGCTTGGGCGCCTGGGTGGCTCAGATCGTTAAGCGTCTGCCTTTGGCTCAGGTCATGATCCCAGGGTCCTGGGATCGAGCCCCGCATCGGGTTCCCTGCTCAGTGCAGAGCCTGCTTCTCCCTCTCCCTCTGCCACTCCCTCTGCTTGTGCTCTTCTGTCTATCTCTCTGTCAAATAAATAAATAAAATCTTTAAAAAAAAAAAAAAAGTCCTTATGCCTTCTTCTCACCAGATCTATCATTTATTCATTCATTCGTTTTCAAAAGCATTTACTGAGTACCTGCTATGTGTATAGCAAGGTGCTGGCACTTGTCAGCTCTTCAAAGGTGAATAAAGCACAATCCTACCCAACAGTGTGTCCAGTGAGTTTTGGGATCACACATCCGTAGGTTTGAAATCTCAGTCCCGCCACCTACCAGCTGTAGGACTGTAGGCAAATTTTTTCACCTCTTTGAGTTGTTTCCTCACAGAGAAAAGAGGTACGGTACTCATAGGAAAAGAAAAATAAAATATCCAATTGAAATTATTTTTCTTTTGCTGACTGCAAGCAGAATTAGCTTATTTGTGCTTTGGCAAACCGCTACTCCTATGGTTCTGTCTTTGGTTTCAACCCCAAAATTGTTTACTTTATCTCTCAAACTTATATTCAAATGATTACATTTGATTTATTTTGCATGTCAGTCTAACCACTAAGCATATGTCATCACATCACTTAATTTATAACAGAACATAAATCTGCTGTGTCGGCTCTGCTAGCTAAAATAGAATCTAGTGCGTTACAGTCATCCACAAAAGAATTTACAGTAACGATGATAAGAATAGTCAAGAAACTCAGGAGAGGATTTTTAAAAATTAAAAATTAAAAAACTCAAGGCAGAGTTCTATAAAAAAAGAAAATTTCTACCACTATTTAAAATTTTTTTTCTATCTTTTTTTCTTGCATCCTGCCGTCCTAAGAGAAGGCTTTACAGAGGCACCCGCCCCTCCCACACACACATACCATTCATTTTGGGAGGTGTGGGGTGATTGAACAGGCACAGAAGGAAAGGACATAAGGTTGTTTGTTTTTTCATTAGATTTCAAGCCTCAGATCGAAAAAAATTTGTAAAATCAATTTTAGGTGTAAGTTTTGTATCCTTTTTTGGGGTGGTGGGGAAGGGGTTACCAAGATTCTAATGAAAGTTATGGACTATCTTTCCAGAAAATGCATAGATAAATCCCCCAATTTCCAAAACTTTCCATGCACCCCAGTTTAAAAATCCTTGGCCTAGTCATTGGGGAAAAATATTTAAAATATTATATCTAAGATTTCCAGGTACTTTATGTAGGTAATAGTGGTAAGCCAGATCCTTAGTTTTCCAAACTATTTAATACATAATTTGTGTATGGTGTAGATTAACTCCCATTTATAGCCCAGTAAATTTATGAAAAGTCAACCCAAACAAATCTGAGTTTTAGACCATTGTACCCCCCTCTGAAACAGCAGAGGAAAAAGTAAGGAAATCCTTCCATTGTGTAACTGACTCGTTTCCTTTCATAACTGGAATATGCCTTTTAACACACACTGCCTTAAATCTATACATTCAGCACCCTTTGTAAGCCAGGACTCACATGGTAGCCCTCAGATACTTTAATTATGTGGACATTCACCTCTAAAACGTTGTTAGACAATAGAAGAAACAATAAACCCATGAAAACCCTGACACTAAATCAGAACTGTCTCTATTAATATCGAGTTAGAAGTGTCAGATCAGGGGCGCCTGGGTGGCTCAGTCAGTTAAGTGTTTGACTTTGGCTCAGGTCATGATCTTGGGGTCCTGGGATCAAGCCCTGGGTTGGGCTCTGCGCTCAGTGGGGAGTCTGCTTGTCTCTCTCTCTCTCTCTCTCCCCCTCTTCCTCTGCCCCTCCCCCCACTCATGTGCGCGCGCGCTCTCTCTCTCTCTCAAATAAATAAAATTAAAAAAAAAAAAAAAAGGAAAAAAGAAGCTCCAGATCACTTTAGCCAATGCTGGTATGAAGAATGTGCTGGCGGCTCACCAAAGACACGTTACTTACCCCATTGTTTTTAGGATAGAAATAAAAACCTATCCTGGCTCTTTATGAATCCCTCCAGGAGTTCTCACTCATTGACAGAGAAAGGCAGTCTTCTAAGAAAACTGTTTTAAAAAAAATTTTGTCACAGATGGGAGGTTGTAGTAATAATTTGAAACATGGAGGACATGAAAAGAAAACCAGAGAGAAAGAGAAAAGAGATTCCACATAAGGGGTCTGGAGTGGCTTTATTAAGCCCATGATTTTAAAACACGTTGAGAGGCAGACAAGTCACTTCTCTAAACGGCATAACGAATGGAGCTTTTTCCGGCAAAGAAAGGCCTTTGGGAGGTGATGAGGTCATGAGGGTGGAGCCCTCATGAATGGGGTTAGTGCTCTTATAAAAGAAACCCCAGAGAGCCTTCCTGCCCCTTCCTCCATGAGAGGTGAATGCAAAGGTACAGCTGTCTATGAACCAGGAAGTAGTTCATCCCAGACGCTGAATCAGCCAGTGCCTTGATGTTGGACTCTCCAGACTCCAGAAGTGTGAGAAATAAATTTCTGTTGTTGATCAGCCACCCATTCGATGGTATTTCTGTCACAGTAACTTGGACAGACTAAGAGAGAAGACATGGCCAAAATGGAACAGGAACATAGAGTCTAATACCATGTCAGTGGTCCCGGAGATACCACGCTTTGGGGAAGGGAAGACCAGGAGTGGGGAGATGGTGCGGTCAGCACAGAGGCAAAAAGCACAGCATCTAGAGTCAGACAGGTCTGGGTTTGAATCCTGGAGCCGCTAAAGCAGCTGTCTGACTTTAGGCAAGTCACTGGAAATCTCTACACCTCAATATCCTCGCTGAGGAAAGGAGTGGAATAATAGTACCTACAGTTCACTGGATTGTGGAAGGTCAATGTAAGGTAATTAGTGCTAAGGGGCACTGTGAATACTCAGAAAAGCCTTGCTACTATGATCGGTGACTGTGAAGGAGACACTATTGATGGGGTTCAGGGCAGGCCACCCCAAGGTGTGTCACTCTGGCATGTTGAGTATTTTGAATTAAAGTTACTTGGGAAACAGCAAGTGCAAGAGGGGCACTCTGACCCTCCCTGTCCCCCTGAAAGCAAGAAATAAAGTCCCTATGTGAACGGTACCCTCCCAGCACCTGGAGGGTAGAGGCGTCCTTTGTCCTGTTAGTTCTTTATAAATGTATTCTTTCTCCGAAAGGTATAAAAGCTGCCTGCTTTGGTCCCTACTTTTGGTGTCATAATTTTGGGGCCCATGTACATACTAAATTAAATTAAATTTATTTTTTTCCTGTTAATCTTTTATTACAGGGTGTGTCTCAGCCAAGAATCTAGAAAGGTAGATGGAAATTTATTTTTTCCCCTACAGCGTTGGTGAGGCAGCCAGGAGATTTCACTAGCTGGACAGGGCTTGCCCCAGGGCTGCTGCCACTGAGATCTTGGGAATTCTGACAAGCACTGATAGAAGCTGGGAATTCTTATCGTGTCAGTCTCCTGGACTTCTGTCTGAGGGGTCTGCTGGAAGTGAGAGTGGTGAGAGTCCTTTTTTAAAATTTAGACTGACAGGAGAAAACACCTGTGGATTTCTTTCTTTGTGTAGAGCGACTCTGGTGAAGATTTGGTAACGAGGACTCTCGTCTTCTATCGATCCTTTCTCCCAGAGATGGTCATTGTTTTCTTTTGTCTCTGTCTTTTGTGTTGTTTGTCATAAAGGGAAAAACCATGGGTCTGATGAGTTTTTCCTTTGTCTTCTTCTATGTCCTGAGAGTTTGGCTTTATGACCACTAAGAATATTCCCTCTGGCCTGCACCATCTGGAAGGTGTACATACTGGTGTGCATCTGGTGGCCATTTGAATAGACTGGAATTCCAAGACACAAAGTCACAGGCAGCCTTCTCTTTGTAGACTGTGCCAGATCTCAGGGGATTGCTAAGGGGTCCCGGTCCATAAGGGGCCTCTGTCACCTCAACCTTCATTGTCTTGTTAGTTCTGGAAAAGTCCCATTCCAGTAGCACTTGCCCTGTGACCCAGATTAGTTTTTCTGTGAGAGACCTCACTATACAATTCTTACTACTTGTGACAACGGAGGTCTTTGCTTTCTTAGGCTTATGCCAGGAGTGACCTTTCTGGATCTTGTGTGGACTGCATCTTTTGCACTCTCCTTCAGGGATACCTCTTGCATCCTGGTGAAGCCAAAACAGGTTTGTTGGTTTTAGTGGCTAATGGGATGAATAGATCCTACTTGTCAATGGCCAATCAGTGGACCTTTTGAATTTGAAGAACTTCTGTATTTGAAAAATTTTTTTAGAGAGCATTGACCCTAAACAATTGTTTCATTAGTACCTGTGGAAAGACCAAATTAAAAGGTGGACACTAAGAAGCAGAATGGCTAGCCCTGGGGCCTCCTTTAACTAGATGAAAGAGCAGAAATTAAACTTAGAACAAAATTAAAGTCCACACTCCATGTAAATTGCCCTTCTTAAAATCTGGTCCTCTCTCCTCAGCAAGGAAGTTAACTCCCCAAACTCCTCCACCTTCCCCAGAAAATCCCTTAAACACCAAGCTGCTTATTTTAACTTCCCTTTCCCTACTAGATATACAGAGAGCACTCAACCTAATATCTGGGCCCATGGTCTTCAGGTTACTCGTGTAAATGCTAGAAGCCAGGAAATAAATTCAAAAGTGCCTGGGCTAGACAATAAGGCTCATTTTGCTGGGTTCTATAATCAGGCTCAGCAAGCTTCAGGTCCTCTTTTGCAATATCTTTTGTGGATATATTCGAGGCCCCCACCCAAAGAATTCATGTCCCCTGGACAGCAGAACATTGAAATCCTTTGATTTCTATCTTAGTTGGAAATTTTCTCCCTGATATAAAAAGGAAAATTCAAAACAGTACGGTTGAGTGGGCTAATTAACCTCTAAGTGTTTTAATGAAAAAAGTTATGCAATTCTTTGAAGATAGTTTGCAGGAATGCAAATTTAAAAAAGGGTTCAAAATCAATAATTCTTGGGGCACCTGGCTGGCTCAGTGGAGCATGCCTCTCTCAATCTTGGGGTCGTGAGCTCCACATTGGGTGTAGAGATTATTTAAAAATA